TGATGTATATGATGTATATGATGTATATGATGTATATGATGTATATGATGTATATGACGTATATGACGTATATGATGTATATGATGTATATGAAGTATATGATGTATATGATGTATATGATGTATATGATGTGTATGATGTATGTGATGTATAGATGCATATGATGTATATGATGTATATGAAGTATATGATGTATATGATGCATATAATTTACATGAGGTATATGATGTATATAATTTATATGATGTATGTATGTGATGTATATGATGTATATGACGATATGTATGTACATACATGTGTATGCATAGGTACAAATATTACTTATGCATATAAAGTTTGTTTTTGTTTACAAATGTTAACACTCTGTTATGCCTTTGTATAGGTTGTTAATATTTAGAGAACATCGACTTGCCCTAATAATATATGCTGTCAGGGTAACATATGTTAATAATTGACTTATGTAAATGTTGCTCGTTGCCTTTCAAGGCAATTTACTAATGAGTTCAACAATGTCGGTTTGTCGCAACTCCTCCTACTCGTACATTCTGATAAATAATTACAATGTCAGCATTTCATGTTTGACTTCCTGTTCAAAGGAAATAGAAGGCTTGCCAATTATTGAGTCACTTGAACCGGTCCCTTGAGATACAACTGCAATTCGTCAATGTTGGAATGCCCTTAAATAAACGAAGACAATTAAAGGCTGCAGCGATTGAGAAATGTTGTGAGCTGTGTCTGTTACAGGTTCATGAACTTTTGCAGGCCATGCTCGAAGTAAAAGTTGATCCGAAGACTTGCCATGCCCTCTACAAATTATGTAAGGCTATGAGCTCCACTCGCATATCAGCAGGCATGTCCGCTCAGTGTTCTCAAGGCCGTTTGGCTTCTTTTTTTTAGAAAGTGCTACGTAATGGCAACGCGACTGGGCCAAGCCATGCTGAATCACATCATTTTGCATTCTTGGCATGGGGATGCGGGATGCGGGCTGCTTTGATCTTGCCAAGGTCTGTTAAGCTGCAGTCGGCGCTGGGCTGGGCTGGGCTGGACTGCCTTACCTCTGCTAATGGTTTGACCCTTTTATTTTCCTACAATTTTTAATTTTCTGTTAATTTTGTGTCAAACTGAAATTCAATTAATTTCTTTAATTGAATCCATGCGGTCAGAGTGACAGCCCGATTCGACCAGTTCGCATAAAGCCATAAAACCCATGACCTTCAAAACGAATTGGTTCGTGTGCGCCCTTAGCCATCTCTCTCTCACTCACTCTCTCTCTCTCTCCCGCTCAGTCGCTCATTTCGCACTCACCTTTTCTGGCACTAATGAGTATGAAAATTAGTTGACAGACTAGTATTTAAATCCATCTATTAGCCGGCTAGATCTTTGGATCATAATCTTGTCCACCAAAAAAAGTAAAAAATTAAAATAAATAAAGGTTGCGGAAAAGTTTTGTAAATGCGTAAACTTGTTTAACGCGTGTGCTTTTTATTTTTTTCTCTCGCTCTTATTGTTTTTGTTATTTGCTTTTTCTGGCTTGTCTTTATTTATGGTTTTATGTTTTTTTTCTTTGCGCTTAGTGTATATTTTAAGTGGAAGCTGCAGACGTAGCTGCTCCCACCGCCTCTACCACCTCTACCGCCGCTGCTGACGCTGCCGTCGCTGGCGCTGCTGCCGGCAGCTGCCTCTTCTCCAAATGTGCTGCAAGTTGAGTGATGCTCTTTTTTCGCTATAAATTGCCGGCATGCTTTAGGGATCAGCATCAGTTTCAACGTCTAGCTCGTCCAGTACAGTCGTAGTCGTACCTATCCATCCAACATGGTTAGTACACCTTAACCGTTGGAGCCAACCGATCACAAATTGGTTCACATTTTATTTTTTTTATTTTTTTCTATAATCTTCTATAACATTTTTTTTTAATGTGCAAGTGTTATTGTTATTGTGCTGTGCTCTGTGCCTAATCGGATCAAACGTCTTCTTCTCGTCCATTGCAGAAATTCCTTATTGTGTTCGCTCTGTTCGCCTGCGCGGCAGCCGATGTCAGCCACCTGGTGCCCAGCAACGATTATCTGCCGCCTGTGCAGCAGTCGTACTCGACTCCATCGGTGAGCTATACGTCCGGTGGTGGCAGCTACTCGACTGGCAGCACCTCCTACGCGGCTCCTGCTGTCAGCTACCGTCCACCCACAAACGAATACCTGCCCCCTGTGCAGCAGCAGGTTTACACCGCTCCGGCCGTACAGCAGCAGGTTTACACCGCTCCTGCCGTGAGCTACACTGCCCCAGCTGTCCAGCAGACCTACTCTGTCCCAGCCTACCAGCAGACCTACACCGCCCCGGCTGTCCAACAGACCTACTCCGTTCCCTCTTACCAGCAGACCTACACCGCCCCGGCTGTCCAACAGACCTACTCTGTCCCCTCTTACCAGCAGACCTACACCGCCCCGGCTGTCCAGCAGACCTACACCGTCCCAGCTGTCCAGCAGACCTACGCTGCCCCCTCTTACCAGCAGACCTACACCACTGGATCCACCGGTGGTAGCTACTCGGTTGGCGATGTCGGCACCCAGTACGCCGCCAACGGTGGCTATGTCTACAAGAAGAAGTAAGACGTTGCAAACTGTTCACCAAATCGAATTAGCAACAGTGTAAATAGCCCATAATGTGCTCTTTGCACCATCAATTCTATTCATTTGTTTTTTTTTTACCAACCTGTGTGTATATAATTAATTAAAAAGAAAAAAGAAACAAATCAGCGAGGTTTTATTTTAGATATTTAATTACATTCCCTTTGCTTCCGAATCAGAAATGCAAATCAATAATCATTCATTCAGTCAGTCAATCAAAGTCCATCAATCATTATTAAGTGTATTCTCTCACATGACAGATCTCGAAGCTTTCAAAGTCTCGAAGAGCTTTTGCCAAAGATGTCAAAGCTAAGAAGTTGCCTAAACAAGCTTACGGCAAGCTTAGCGCGAGCTTTTTACGTGGCTTTTAAGCTCGAGCTTTGCTCCTCGCAAAGCTCTTGTTTATGCTGGATACTAATATTGTAAAAGACTTGTAAAAAGCTTACTGGCATATGATTACCAAGAAAAAAGTTTATTTTTGCAAATTGCGAATATTATATATATAAAATAATAAATCAATATATTACAAACAGATCTAAGCACAGAGGACGATAAGGAAATCAAATGGAAAATGTAAGACATAGATTAGAGGGTATCTAAAAGCTAAGACAAACAAAGGGACCTGATTGTTCACATGCAATACAAGTACAGGGTATCTCAAAATTAAAAATCAAGACACATACATATAATATAGGATATCTCAGACCCGATCGATATATAGGCACTATCAAGTCAAGTATAGGGTATCTCAGAGTCAAATAGAAATTAAAATACAAAACTAAAATACGTTAGGGGCAGTTCGAATTATAGACTTTACTTTAAGTACAGCACTGTATTATATGTCAAATACAGGGTACTGAGTAAGACTTAAAATATTAAGATATATTTAATATACTTCTTTTTATTGCTGTATAGTTCAAGTCCTTTAAGGATAGTTGGTTACATATACTATTAATTTTAAGTACAGGGTATCTCATAAGACAAATCGCCACTGAAATGAAAAGCAGTCACTGATATTTTCAAGTACAGGGTGTCTCATAGTCAAATAACGAGTAAAAAGAGACTTCCATGTGACAGAATACAAGGTATAAAAGAAGTTCGACTATATATATACTAGGTAAAAGTCTATCTGAGATGCCCTATACATACTATTACTATATAAAAGTACTACTAAATTAATATTATGCATCCAGTATAGGGTATCTCCACGGTCCAGTTGCAACACAGCAAAGTCGCATGGCATCATTTGTCATTCGACTTTTGTTTGTTTATTTACATAGAGTTGAGTTCTATTATGTCATTATTTCCAACAGTTTTGGAATCTGTGTGTGTGTGTGTGTCTGTGTGTGTGAGTGGATATGTTATGAGGCTAATTTGCATTGTGAATATTGAATTGAGAATTGAACATATAGGGGAGTTGATAAGAGATTCTTTTATATCTGGATTGTAACATTTATAATTATTATATCATAGAAAGCGTCGAAATGCCGAAACTGGAACTGAATTGTTAATTGCCAAGAGGCAAACCAGTTGAGAGAAATGTATTTCGTGTAGTCTTTGTATGCAAAATTGCCGGAGCACCAGGAGCCAGACGAGGGGCGGCCGGCAGGCGGGTGATGCGATACGGAGGGTGAGGAGGAGGAGGAGGAGTAGGAGGAGAAGGAAGAGTAGGGTCAACCGATGTTGACAGTTTAACAAATTTGCCCGGCTGCCTAATTAATTTTTATAGTTCAAATTCGGATTTGGAAGTTCAACGGAACTTGGCATCGCCCAGATGGCCATTATGATGCAAAGTAGACGAAAGTGAAATGGAATCGACACGAAATACGACATTTATGTAAGTTTTGCTAGATCACAATGTAACCGGCGCACTCTGGCTTCCACTTATAAGTGGCCCACTTCATGGCCCATGCCGCACACAGTTCACACCGCCCGCTCGAGCTTGAAGAGCGCTACGACACCCGACAACTCGCAGAGATCGAATCGCTAGAAGGATGCCTACAATGCCATGGACCAAATGGCCACTGCTGCTCCAGCTGGGGCTGCTGCTGGTCCTGCACCTGACCACAGCCGATGTTAGCCATCTGTCCAAAAACTATTTGCCACCGGATCCCAAGCCGTCGGCCGCGCAGCCCCTGGCGGACGAGCCAGCCCCGGCGGAGCCTGCCAAAGCCAACGATGGCAGCTACTATCCCGGCGGCGGCTTGACGCTGCCCTCGGGCTACTCGGTACCCAATGGAGGCAATGTTCCACAGCCGCACAGTGCACCGCCCAATTTCCCGCTGCCCATTTATCCGCCGTACTTTGGATTCAACGGCGGTAGTGCGGAAGCCTTTGGCAATGGGTTTGCCAATGGAGCACAAGGACCACAATTCCAACAGCCTGGCCAGTTTCCAGTCGGTCCTCAGCCTGGCCAGTTTCCAGTCGGTCCTCAGCCTGGGCAGTTTCCAGCTGGTCCTCAGCCTGGCCAGTTTTCACAGGGCGCTCAGTTTGTAGGAGGACAACAAGGCTTTCAGTTTACGCCTGGACAACAGGGCGGAGGCTTTCCAGTTGGCCCACAGGGCGGCGGCTTTCCAGTGGGACCCCAAGGCGGCGCCTTTCAAGCCGGCCCAACGCCATTTGCACCCGATTACCTGACCATGCAAGGACTACCGGCAGCCGCCATACCGCTGCCCTTCCAGCAGAACGTTGGCTTTGGTCAACAGACTGGCTTTGGCGGTCCACAGTCCACACATCACTTCCAGCACCTGGTCAACGTGGGTCAGCCATTCGTGCCCAGCTTCGGCATACCCGGCCAAAACTATCAGCCGCATCCACAGCGGTTCGCCGACGAGCCGCAGCCAGAGGGCAAGGCGAAGCCAAAGAGCACAGACGCCAAGGCGCTGGCCAAGTCCCACAACAAGGAGACCACCTACGCCTCCAACGGTGGCTACGTCTACAAGCGCGCGAAATGAGCAACGACGACATTTAGTGCCAATAAATTATTATTTAATCAATTTGTGTTTTATTTTTTTTTTTCTGTGTCTCTCTCTCTCCCTCTCTCTCTCCATTCGGTACGGTTCGATTCGATTCGATATTCAATTTGATCATCACCTTGTGCTTTTTTCCCGTGTTTACGATCTCACACGATGAGCAGATACGAGTCACAAAAGCTCGGCTTGGCTTTGAGAAGAACATAAAACGAAAAAAAAAAACACACTTAAGCTTAGCGAGTCATGTCTGGCTTGACCCGAGCAACACCTAAAAACAATAGTTAAACTATTTATTGTATTATATAACTCAATGAAACAGGCGGATATACTTGACTCGTTTATTGAAAATGAAACTATAAATTAGAGCCAGACCTTGAAAGAGGTCAAAACTTAACTAAGTTTCGCTGTCTATCTCTATCTCTCTCTCTTTCTCTCTCTTTTTATACATACCTCTTTATCTCTATATCTATATAAATATACATATACATATCTACTTTAGTAGACAGCCTATTAGATACTAGAGATATTGGATATTTATATGTTTATGTAGGTAAACAAACTTAAGTCTTGGGTTTTTGAGATGAGATACAAGTTTGGTATCCACGCTTACTGGAGAGCTAGCAAATCGAAGCTCTGGATTTTATGAGGTCAAATTGCGGAAGAGAGTCTATTCATCAAATAAAGCCGAACATATATCGAACACAATTAACGGTTTTTGATCTACGTTAGAGTATTATGCAGTCGATTATGTCTGATTTGCCTAACAGTACTTTATATGTTATAATATTGTTTCCACATTTTTATATTCATTCACGAAAGTGAATTATATTGATTTTTTGCAATGCTCGTCAGTCTAGCCGTCCGTCCGTCTGTATGTTCGTCCGTTACTCCGTCCGTCTGCTCGTCCGTCTATCTGCCCGCCCAAACGATTTCGACGCTATTGAAACTATAGACTTGTGTATACTCTCGAATAATAAAAAGTCAAGACCTGTCCTATCCACTCACTAGGGGGCGTGGCAAATCGAAGACAGCATTTTAAGGTTCCTCAGAAACTATGATACTCAAAGTGCTAAAGAGATCACATTTCGAATTCAAACTCGAGCTAATAGCCCGAAATTCAAGAGATATTCCGATTAAATCCAAGCTCAATACGGCCGTACAATTTTTGTCGAATTCTTTCTATTGACTGAATAGAAATTTCGTCTTCTAAATACCCTATGTCAACTCAACCTCAACTAATGTTTTCAATATCAACTACTCAGTCGGTTAACATAATGACTAGTCAAAGGGAAATACCCACCCATGAATAGTAGAATAACTATTTGCAGCCTAGTAGCGTTAAGCTGACTAAATCGTATGCGAATCGTTGCGAAACTCGCTCCATATGAAATAGATTTGCTAATTCTTTGCAAGCAACGCCCACAGGTGTCCAAGCAAAGGTGATATTTCCTTTGGCTTGCAACTCTTGTATTTTATGTTTCTATGCAAATTCATTTGGCAAGTTTCGCGCTTCTTCTTCTTCATTTTGTTTTGTTTTTTTCTCTTGATATCTTGTGGTTTTATAGTCGTTAATTTTTCATATTTGTCTACACAGTTTTTCGATGTTTTGTTTAGCTGCAGCCCCCCCATTGTTGCTATTATTATTTAACGTACGTTATGTTGTTGAATAGATTTCGTTTGTTTCTATTTGATAGATACCTACATACATTTATGATGTGTGTGAATACCCTGTCCGCAGTGAATTTGATTGATTAAGGCCAGAAAAGCATAAGCAGACGTTGAGCAGAGCAAGGCCTAGGCAATTATGAGAGTATTTTGTTATAGTATTATCATATAAGAATATACTCTCATAACTGGAAATCTAATTTCGAGTTCACTTTCAGAGAGCAGTTGCTCTGGAGCTCCTCTATACCATAGAGCTAGTTCAAGCTAGCTCAATCGAAGCAATCAAACATGACTTGCACTCTGCTTACAGGGTATCCAGCTAGTCAGCATCTTCAATGCTTTTTACGGCCATACCTCTGCTTCATTTGCATTCGCTTGTAAAACAATTTCATTCAACGCTTTGTCAATTATACAAGCCATGTTTTCTATGCTAGTCTCTGTAAAGCTTATGCCGATGCCGGTCTTCTTCTGCTTCAGCTTCTTCGTCATTTTCTTGTTAATCTTAAAGGTTGTCCGATCGGCAATTAGTCATAATTACTTAATGCAACTGTTGCCAGGGGCACAGACCCTCAACTTGACATTTTTTTACAGCTTTTTGTTTCATTTCCATCAGCTCGAGCGACGCGTGCAAAAGCCGCAGGTGCAAACATATTGTTGTTGCTTTTGTTGTTGTTGACCAAAAATTTCGGTATCGATTTGTACGCTTGATAAGAAATTATCAAGCTGAGATCTGACTGAGATCTGACTTCATTATCATTATAATAAACATAATTTTCTAAACAAATGTGAAACGCAGCCGCACAATATCATGAAATGTATAACAGCGTGTTATGCATGAAGGCTAAAATTAAAGGAATTATACAAATATGGACATATTTTATGGACATATGCATATATGCATGCGAAATATAAAATAGCAACACCATCACATTGAATAGGCTAAGGAGGTGCAGCTCTAAACTATTTTGGATAAGCTTCATAAACAGAAATCATTTTTTTCCAAAAATACTTAAAAATTAAATTAAATTTTGTGTATATATGTATATATTTTACTCATATTTATATATATGTCAATAAAAACACAAATAAAAATGTGTATTCTTTTTAATTTAGATCATAATAACATACAAAACATAATTTATTTTGTTCATCAAAAAGTGCAGTATATTTCTGTTCAGTATATTTTCTTATTAATAAATGCGAGATTGATAAAGAGAAATAACTTTTTTTATATATACGAAGTATATCCATGTTGCCAATATTTATATACATATATGCATATGTATATGTGGTTAATAACAAAATGAACATTGCTTTTATTTTTCTCGTGTATTATTTATGACATATTTGGCAACATTTTGCGAGTATTTAGTTTCTAATTTATTTTGGCTTATTTTTAATTGTTTATTTTAATTTGAGCAAATGACGCAGAAGGCAAAATAATTTAAAATTCAACCTCAAGAAAAGAGCAACAACAATTAGATAATATTTTATTATCTTTTTATTTTTTGTCAACATATTTACATGCTTGTTTGTTTTTGCACGATTGCAAAATCGACGCGGCCAGTGTTGCCACCCCGTTAGAATGCGTCAGTGACGTGAAAGCTTAGGCCTGTTTCTGGCTATCGAACGCTGCCTAACAGCGATACCTATCGCTGCTGTTGATTGTCAATTCAATGCCAACTCTAGGAGTTCGCCGCGGATCGCCGATCAGTTTGAATTGCATAATTTAACTAGGTGAAGTCAACGAACGCACCCAGGCAGGCATCAATTGGTGGTCAGCAGAGACTGCAGCAGCAGCAGCAGCCGTCGCAGCAGAAACTATGCAAATGCGCAATTGCAACAAATGCAAACACACTTTGAGCTCTGGAAAACTATTGCATGTGTGTTCGAGTGCGTGTGCTTGTGTGCGTGGGCTTGCGAAAAGAAAGCCATTTGTGTAACACCGCCCCCGAGATGGGAAATATGAGATTAGCAGACGCGACTGGGCCACATCGCAGCACAGGCAGAGCCAAGCCGAGCCGAGCTGTTGGCATTGTGTGTGCATCGTCGTCGAGAGTGTGAGGCATTGTTTGTTTGCTGTTTGTTGTATCTTCTTCTTTTTTCATTTATTTATAAATATTTTTTTTTGTTTTTTGTCTACAACTTTTTGGGCATTTATTAATCGGCCCAAAGTTATAGCCAAATTGCAAGCTTTTGTTGTGAGCATTTAGCATTTACATATTCACACACAAGCGACACACGCACACCATGAAATATAGATGTCCAAGATGACGCTGAACCAATTATGGAATGACAATGATGCTAGCTGTCGCCGCAAGTGCTCTGGCCGCCGTCTTCAGATGGCATTCGACTATAAATGCCCATCGGATCTGTTGGGCAGGCATCAGTTTTACGGTTTCGTTCGTTTGGTGTAGCACGCGCAGATCTTGTAACTTCACACACAACATGGTAAGCGAGTGCGCCCAGCCGCGACCATCCTCACTTTTACCACCTGCCTGCCATTAGCCAACTCTGGATTGTTTAATCTGTTTCTGTTTCGGTTTCTGTCTATTTTCATGTCTTGTGGTTTGCCTGGCAGAAACTCATTGCGTTAGTCGTCGTTGGCACTGCCATGGTGGGTCTGGCTCTGGCCCGTCCGCAGTCGAATGCCTATTTGCCCCCGGCTCCCATCAAGGGTCTGCAGCAGCCCGGCCAGCAAGCGATCAGCTATCAGAGCTATCAGCTGCAGCCGCAGCAGTCGCAGCGTTCCATTGCACAGATTGAGTCGATCCGTCCATCCGTTTCATTGGGCAGCTTCACCATCCACAGCGGCGGCCAGTCGAGCGTTAACCAAGTGTCAACGGCTCCACAGCCCACGGCCGTCAGCTACGAGACATCCAAATCGTCAGTTAGCGTGGCGCCAGCAGCTCCCACGCAGCTCTTTGTGCCCTCGCCTCCAGCTGCTGCTCAGGAATCCACAACCGTTGTTGAGCAGTCGGTGAGCACTCCAGTGGCCGCTCCAGTGACCCAGCAAACCTACTCAGCACCAGCTCCAGTCGCCCAGCAGTCATACGCCGCCTCAGCTCAAGTGGTTCAGCAAACTTACTCCGCTCCAGCGCCAGTAACTCAGACGACCTACACTGCTCCAGCGCCAGTGGCTCAGCAAACGTACTACACTTCAGCTCCGGTGGCTCAGCCAACCTACTCAGCTCCAGCTCCAGCCCTTCAACAGCTGTACTCTGCTCCAGTTCCAGCTCCAACTCAGCTGGTGCAGCAGACTTACTCTGCTCCAGCACCAGTGGTTCAGCAGACCTACTCCGCTCCTGCTGCCACTCCTGCTCCCGTGGTTCAGGAGACCCAGTCCATTCAGAGCACTACCCAAGTAATTTCGGCCCCAGCGCAAGTGGTTCAGGAGAATCAGGTGATCTCGTCGCCCGCACCTGCTGTTCAGGAAATCTACTCCACTCCAGCAGCCGCGCCAGCGGTGCAGCAGACCTACTCTGCCCCTGTGAGCCAAGTGATTACGACCTCCACTCCAGTGGTGCAGCAGTCATATGTCGCTCCCACTCAGGCCATTCAGGAAAGCTATGTTGCGGCCCCGGCTCCAGTGGTGCAGCAAACCTATACTGCTTCTGCTCCAGTGGTGCAACAAACCTTTGCTGCCTCTGCCCCGGTAGTGCAGCAATCATACACCGTTCCTGCTCCTGCTCCGCAGGTGCAGCAAATCTTCTCCGCCCCAGCTCCAGTTCCAATCGTTCAGCAAGTGCAGGAGACTGCCATCCAACAGGCTCAGTTTACCGGCTATAACTACCAGGCACCAGCACCCACTGCAACCTACAATCTACAAAAGGTCGTCTCTGCCTCCGCACCCGCACCCATCCAATTCCAAGTGCAGCAGCAACCGCAGCAGCAGCAAGTACAGCAGGTGCAGCAGCAGCAGCAACTGCAGCAAGTGCAGCAGGTACAGCAAGTGCAGCAGCAGCAGCAACAACTGCAACAGCAGCAAGTGCAGCAGCAGCAACAACAACTGCAAGTGCAGCAGCAGCAGCAAGTGCAGCAGCAGCAGCAAGTGCAGCAGGTACAGCAAGTGCAGCAGCAGCAACAACTGCAGCAAGTACAGCAAGTGCAGCAGCAGCAACAATTGCAACAGCAGCAAGTGCAGCAGCAGGTGCAGCAGGAGCTGCAGCAGCAAGTGCAACAGGCGCAGCAGGAGCTGCAGCAGCAAGTACAACAAGTGCAGCAGGAGCTGCAACAGCAAGTGCAGCAAGTACAACAACAAGTGCAACAGCAAGTGCAACAGCAGCAAGTGCAACAGCAGCAAGTGCAACAGCAACAAGTGCAACAGCAGCAAGTGCAGCAGCCACAGCAACAGGTGACCTATACCACCACGGTTCAGGCTCCAGTGCAATTGCAGCAATCCTATGTACCAGCACCACCCGCTCCACTGCAATTGAGCAGTCCAGTTGCTGCGCCAGTGGCACAGTTCACGCCCAACTACAGCTTCACACCTGCCCTTACCCAGCAGGTGAGCTACGCACAGCCAGCTGCCCAAAGCCTTGTGCAGAGTACGACCACCGTCCAGCAAGCTGCTCCAGCTCCCATTGCAACTCCAACTCTGGTCTCGGCTCCAACTAGCAGCGCTCTGATTAGCAGCCCGGCCCCAGCGCCAGCCACAGTCACAACCAATGCCATCTCACAGATTGGCACCAACTACGGCAGCAACGGCGGCTACGTGTATGAGAAGACAAACTAAATGCGTTTGAACGGGTTGTCGAGCAGACGCCCGAACTCGCATTTGCGACACCGTGAATTGTTTTTTTTTTTTTTTATTATTTTTATGTAACCTAGCCAAATTGTAGTACTAGTTTTGTTAAATTGCTTCTTTTTTTTTTACTTGAAATATAATCGACTAATGAAATGAAATTAATTCAAGTGTTTGCCCTTCACGCGGTCAGCGCTGAAAATCCTTCGAGCCGTTACAGCTCTGTAAATTTCAAAACTAACAGCAGCTGAACAGCTTATGCGCGTGGAAAGCTGCCAACACTGTTAAACAACTCGTGTGTAAAAAGTGCGAAATTGAGAGCAGTTTGATGTTAAATTTAAATTCGTCACACACAGTGTTGCCAGAACTGTTAAGGAACAGAACTGTAAGTTACAGCGCTGCCATAACTGGTAAAAGCACTGTTAGAGGAACTATTAGTGCCCGAGCTGTTAAGAAAGTCATTATTAGAGCTGTTAAGTGAAGCGCTGCCAAGTCGATCAAATAACAGAAAGGAGAACTTTAAACGCCAGAGCTGTTAACTAGCTGATAGTTCTCTGATGAGAATTGGCAAACGGAGCGCCAATTTGAAATGTCTCACGAAATACAATATGAAAAAGACATTAATTATCAATCAGAGAAGCAAACGGATGTGAATGTGAAAAGCGCAAAAAAGACGGATTTAGAAAATGCTATAAATAGCTGATATTTAAAATGTAATATATCTGATTGCCAGACACATTTCGATGTCGAATATGAAACTGCTTTGTATATTGAGTCTACTACTTGGCGTTACTCATCATCAGCAGCCGCACTTGGCTATCTGCTGCTGTTGATTAATTAATATCAGGCCGTCTCGGCTCTCTGAAAATCCCATCGTGTTTTAATTTGTTTCTTATTTAATATAGCCACAAGGTAGCTTTTTTCATTGTTTTCATGTTGATTGATTGTGCGCTATGACTGATTGCAGGGCATAGAACTCGTTGGCTATAGACGGCCCACCTAGCGGACCTGCCAAGCTGAGCGTTATGAATGGAGTTTCGTTTGCCAATATCGTGCTTTATGAGTCGGCCATTAAATGGACGAGCTGTGCGACTATAAATGCCAGCCGAAATAAAAGCAACGAAACATGTTTCAGATAGAATATTGAGTTCTGAGCCAGCTAATGAACAAACCACCAATCATCATCACTGACGGACGTCTCACTCCGAGCTCCACTAGGAGCTCAAGCTTGTTCTGAACATTGCTTTTATTATTATATGAGTCTTATTTGTTTTGTGCTTTTATTTTATTATTATATTTTTTTTTGTTCTCTCTGGTTTATTCATAGAAAGCTTATAATGAACGATATTTTATGAGCATTTGTTAAATAAGCTACAAGTTCTTATTATCTTGTTCTTCTCGCTGCGTCGCTTTGACATTTGTCTCTTGACTATAAATATGCTAGGACGCGCTAGTCAAAAGTTAGTTCTTTGACCAACTTTGTCAACGCAGCAACGCGCAGGAACACCCTCACAGCACCCCCGCATACACGCATACACGCACACACACACTCTCACACACAATGGTTAGTAAGGACATGCTGCTCTGGCTCCGGCTCCTGCTAATAGCTCCTGCTAATCATTTCAGCAACTCTTTGCCATCGTCTCGTTCGCCCTGTTGGCCCTGGCCGCAGCTGATGTCAGCCACCTGAGCAACACCTATCTGCCACCGCGCTCCTCCGTGATCACGAGTGTGACCAAGAGCTACGTCGCTCCGGCTGCCTCCGTCCAGAGCGCCTCGTATGCCGCCCCAGCTGCTGTGGCGTCTGCCGATGCCGGCTCGTTCAGCAGCGACTCCTCGTTCGTGGCTCCCGCTGCCTCCGTCCAGACCACCTCGTACGCCGCCCCCGTCAAGACTTTCACCAGCAAGACTTACACCGCTCCGGCTGCCACCTACCAGAGCACTACCTATGCTGCCCCAGCTAAGCAAGTCTTCAGCAAGACCTACACCGCCCCAGCCACCAGCAGCTTTACCGCTGACTCATCCTATGTCGCTCCCGCTGCCTCTGTTCAGACCACCTCGTACGCCGCCCCCGTCAAGACTTACACCAGCAAGACCTACACCGCCCCAGCTACCGCCGACACATCCTATGTCGCTCCCGCTGCCAGCTACCAGAGCACTACCTATGCTGCCCCCGTCAAGACTTACACCAGCAAGACCTACACCGCCCCAGCCACCAGCAGCTTTACCGCCGACTCATCCTATGTCGCTCCCGCTGCCAGCTACCAGAGCGCATCTTATGCTGCTCCCGCTGAAGCTGCCGCCGCTGGTAGCTTCACCAGCGACTCGTCGTACGTCGCCCCTGCTGCCAGCTTCGAGAGCGCCTCGTACGCCGCTCCAGCCAGTGGCTTCACCAGCGAATCCTCGTACACTGCTCCCGCGGCCAGCTTCGAGAGTGCTTCGTATTCTGCTCCCGCTGCAGCTGCCGCTACCGCTCCAGTTGCCAATGTAGTGAGATACTCTGGCATTGACACCGTCTATGGCTCGAACGGCGGCTACGTCTACTAGTTGGCTCCAAGAACGCTTCCAATCGATATTCCTCACAATTTTTTTTTTTCGAACCAACCTTTTTTTTTTTATAAATTAAAATAAAAACAATGAATTTCTTAAACTACCAGAAACGATAAACGCAGCATTTTATTTGCATTCGATGAAAGTTCTACAAAGCACTCGGCCCGTAAATATGCAAATTTGTATTCATATTTAGTCATATGCATATACATGGGTCTCTATAAATACTTCTTTAAGTAAGACCATTGTTCTACTATAATTAGTGAATTTTTAATGTTTAATGTGTTTCCTTTAGAAATAGATTCGATGTTTTTGGGCGTTCTGTGATATCATATGATATTAATATTTCATGATTTCATCATCAATACGTCAATACATCTATATCATACTAAAATTTCGTTATATAAAAACTATTCGCTCAGCCATCAAGATCCGTTTAAAGTAACTGGAGCACTACCGGCTGTGGGCTTGATTGATTACAATGATATGAGACTTAGATCAGTCTGAAGAAGTCAAGGGAATCTAACTATTCAATTCTTATTATTTCAATTCTCTCTCTCTCTCTCTCTCTCTCTCTCTCTCTCTCTCTCTCTCTCTGTATCTATGTATATCT